AAAAAAAAAGGTTATTTTGAACCTAAAAGAAAATAATTCAGTTTAATTGCAAAACAGATATAATAATTAACAATGCACACGTTCTCACTTTGTTGCATTTAGTGATTTTTTTCCAACTATCTCTGCTTATAGACTGTAGTTATTATTTTAGCACAGGTAAACAGAGGTTACTAGTTCTTTTGTTCATTAAATGCTAATTAAAAAAGCAATACTTGATGTTTGCATTTGTGTTTAACTGAATTGTTCTAGTTCTTAGTGAGTTTTAGGCATAGAGTCTAAATAATCTACCAGTCAGGGCTAAACTCTGAGTCAGCTCCATTTTATTGACGGCTAAATTAGAGCTTTAAAATATTTTAAGAATATAATTTGAAAAGCAAACCAGCCGAATGGACGTTTGTTTGCTCAATTAAATTGATTTCTCTAATCAAGAGACAGTGGAAGGAGGCTACCGGCCAATAAAACTGCACCGTGGACAAATATTTTCTGTGTCAGATATGAATCCTGTTTCTTTACCTAATATCAGTCCTATATGAGCTCAAAACACACAGAATTAATTCATTCATCACTATCACATGAACCTGGTTTTTATGGTAAATGTTTTATGCTCATATTTTGATAATTATACTAATAATTTTAAAAAGATTTGGCTCTTGTTGATGGACCAAAGCTATTTCAGTACATCGACATTTATAGAATCTATATTTATCTATATTTCCAGAAATAATTAATTTGAATGATTATCCACTATGCAGTTAAACAGTACAAAAAGCACAATTCTTTGCTTTGTTCATTAGATATACAAAAAAAAATCTGAATCAGAAATACTTGAATAATTCCAGAGGGAAATTAAACATGGTCAGTCTCTGTCTGGCTCAGTTTATTTAATCCATGTAATTATAATTACGCCTTAACCCTGTAATGCCAAATGTATCATATCTGATTCATACGGTTTCTGAAATGTTTTGCGTCTGACACCTTTTGCATAATTTAATGGTAAAAACTTTGCTCAAAATCCTATTGAACACAATCAGATACACCTGATAACAGGGGGCAGAAGATACACAAAAAATAATCTGGATTTATCGCATAGTAATAAATTATTGATATTAAAAAAAGTATTCCTGTTTTTTCTTTTTAGATGTTTTATTAAAAGGCCAAATAAGGAATTCAAACCAAAAAAAAAGTAATTTTCTGTTTGGTTTTATTCTTGGATCGGGCTTTAAAGGGTTCATTCAAATTCAAATGAAAACTGGAGTGCATTGTGGTGCTGACCTTTGCCCTCTGACCTGTCGTGGAGAATTTTCTTTTGTTTCTTTGTGAAAGCTCCTGGTTGTTGATTCCTTTAGAGAGAGTCGTCTCTCATGTCTGGAGACTAAAGGTTTTAGCACCACTAGGAAATGCAACAATTTCCTTAATCCCATCAAACAGATGAATCTCCCATTCCTGTTTATCTTTGAAA